TAAACTTTTATTTTTTCAGTCTGACATCATCAACTGAGCACTTGTACTTTGTATTTTATGTAGTTGAAAGTACAAAAATAAACAAGCAGAAAATTACTTAGTATAGGAATATTTTTGCATCAAAAGAGATTCTGTTTGTTTGTCCTTGTGTTGTAAATAAACTTGAAGCTGTTGCTAAATACTTGAGATTGCTTTCCGGTAAATACTAAGGTTTGATTAAATATAGCAAAAAGGTGTACACCCATTGTTCTTTCATCATATTAGTCTTGGATCAGATTTGCAATATTCATTCGTGTTAAGAGTGGAGACAATCATTAACAGCTTTTCTGCCAGTGAACAATGGGAATGGCTGAACCTGATCAGAGCAAAGATCCATCTGACTGGGGTCAAAGGCAGGTTCTTAAAGAGGAGTATAAGGATGAGGCAAACACATCTGTATAATTACAGTAGCCTTATAGCCTCTCCCAGTTTCTACTAATGCATTGTTCACGAACATCCCATGAAAAGGTAGTCCCTTCAGGTTGAAGAGTCTTGTATGGATTTTTCTTCTAAGTGTTTCCTGAATATATGTAGGTCTGACAGTCATGCTATCCTACAGCAACATACAAACACTTTAAATAAGCTTTTTGTGAAAGAAACATTCACTGCTTATGAAGTGACTTTTGGAAGTATTTATAAAAATAGATATATTCTGGTATTAGTTGGCTATAATAAACATGATTATGCTTCTGCCCAGAAAAACAGGCAGAACGCCAACATGTTTGAAATGTAATACCAAAGATACTACTTCACTAGCTATTTATTCAAAACTTCCTGGAATATATGGATCTCTAATAAGTATGTCCTTTCAGACATTACCAACTAGTTACCATCCTCATTTCTAGGATGAATAGATTTAGTGCAATGTTTTCAAAAGAAATTACAATCACTTTCAGTGAAATTTAGAAAATTATAACTAATTTTTCCCAGTTAAACTCATTACTAATGAAATATATTTGACTTTATACAAGTTTATTGACAGGAAAGATATTGCCTATTTTTCTGATATTTTTTTCTGTACAGTATACTATTACATCAAGATTCATAGTGCCTGTGCTACCATAAGGTAGCAGTATATAACACATATATTTTGCTGAATTTCTATGTAATAGGTAAATATTTTTTTTGTGTGTTTTAATTCACCTTGTCACAATCAACACAAATGTGCCTTTAGAGAGATTGCTAACAGCTTATTTCAAATTATTTGTAGATACCTTTATCCATCTTAAGCTTTCACTGGAAGATAATTTTTCCCAAAAAAGTACAAGGTCAGTAAAAATGGAAGTGCTATAGTTGACATAAATATCCGCATAACTACATTTTTTTGGTTGCAGACTTAGAAACTAACATTTGTTGAAACAATCTTGAAAATAACATATTGTTTATAGCTATGCTTTAGTAGTTGTCTACCAGTGTAACTGAATACCCATACCAGTACTCCCTGCAAGCCTTCCAAACAACATCAGCTATACAAACCTGCCATCAAAGCACTGTAATTTGAATAAAAAGAAAAAAAGACTGTTTTAACACAGTTGTAACTTTACATGTTTCCATATGTTATTTTCAAGGACTGTTGGTTTAAAAAAAACATAAAAACCAAACAAGAAGTCAGATTCAATACACTGAGGTTTTAACACTAAAGATAACATGGCCATCTGATAAAATGTTTATTGGAATTTATATTACATAGAATATTTGTGTTCAAACTTCACTTGGAAAGCTACAAAAAGTTGTGGCCTTACTACAAATCGTATGTCGGAAAAGTATATTCCTGTTATTGCAATGAGAAGATCAGAGATATTGATTAGGACCTGAATAATTTGTTTCTGAGGTACTGCTTGCTTTGGAGAAGAAGCGAAGGAATTATAAATGGGCACAGTGAAAAATAAGGCTGTTCATAATAAGAGTGTTTCAGAATTACAATAGGTTGGGCAGAAAGGCTGTGGAATTACTATCCTTTGAAATTTTTCAAAACTACTGAAGAAAGGCCATCAGCAGTCTGGCCTAACTTCTAAGTTAGCCCTTGTTTGAGAGAGAGTTGGACTACCTACCTGCAGCTATGCTTTACGACACAATTTTTTCTATGCTTTCTCTGAATGCTCCTATTTTGCATCAGTGTTGTGCTTGGAACAGGTGATCTGACAGAAGATAAGACAAGACAGTTACATATGATGCATGTATTCACTTTGTGAGGAAGAAGCCTGCTCTCCCTACAGGCGACAAGGATGATGTGTTGACCAGAACTAACAATGATAATGTAGCTCTATGTAGCACCTTGGGAACTCTCAGAGGCCACTGTCTGTCCTAAAGTACGTCAGCTAAACGATCATATTTGTCTAGCTTCTTTAGTTCTCAACTGTCTATTGTTTGTGAATATCCCCATCACCCTCTGTCATTGTGTTTGGACACTATGTAAACTGAACTCACAGATTCTCCTACTTTTTCTTGTTCTTCCCTCCCTGGAATCATAACGCAGGTATTTTATCCAGCTCTAAAAAAAAAAAAAGCACAGCCACAATCACTGCCCTAATTTCTGTGCTGTCTCACTTGACTTCAGACAGGGATCTTGTCCCACCATGTCATTTCTTCAGGAAACACCACAGGATTCTTTCTTTCTTTTGTAAATCCAGTCATGCTAGTCTCAGTTAAAATGAGTGAATAGTAACAAAAGTGAGTTATCACATTACATATTGTCTCACTATACAATATGCTATTACAGCAATGTAAGGACCAGTACAAAGAAATTTTATAATTTATAATTATCAAATTATGTGATCAGTTCTCAAATTCCTATACATTTGATAATTCACAATTATCAAAAGGACAAAAAAGGTCCTTTTCATCCTATTTTTGAGTTGTCTTTATAAACTGGCAGAGGCAGGAATGTCACAGTACTAATCCTACATTGCTTTCCCCCATACAAACTTTTCACAAAGTTCCCACCATGATTAACCCTGGAGCAGATCTAATTTATATAAGGAAATGGCTCCTACAGCCCTCTGCTCTGCAAATCCTCTAAACCCTCTTGGGATTGTCTAGAAGCTCTTGTTTCTTACTGCAGTACATTTGAGAGTACTCAGTCCAAGAGCATTACAACACAGCCTTAGACTGAAGACTATCAAAATAAACCAAAGAGATATTAAATCAAAAACTTCTCAATCACTTACTTTCATTATATTCATTTTTCCACCAGTGCCTGGCTTTTTTACATTTGTCTTGAGGACTTTCCACTTCCCAAACTGTTAGCTTTTCACACATACCTAAATCTTATCTCTGCTGGCAAGGAAAGCTTCTGTAGAGGAGTCCAGCAAGTTCATACATCAGTTTCTGAGGGAAAAATACATTTGTTGGCAGACCCACTTACGCGAATCAGGGCCTTTAAAGCAGGACAGTGTGGGCATCTGGTCTACGGCACCCCAGCGTGAGGCTGAAGAGGTGGGCCTGTTAGCCATGTGGTTGTAACAAACAGCAGCATGCCCTGCGGGGAGAAAGGCCCAGTCTGGGTTCTCTGAGTTCTGGAATTTTCAGGTTGGGACTGCCACTTTAGGGGGGAAAGAAACAATGTCATAAAATGGCCTTGGAGACTGCACAAGTGTCTTTCCACGTCTCAGCCCTGAGGTATATGTCTAGAGCAAATTTTCACAGCTTAGTAAAGAATCCTTGAAAATTAGTGCTTTTAATGTGAGTGCTAACACAGCTTGTACCATGGGATAGCTTTGTGCAGGGGACATTCATAAAACTCAAAATTAAGAGGCAAAATCTGATAAAAAATGCATGCTGGAGCTCAAAAGGAAATGAAGGGTCTGAACAATGTAACTTGACAGAACTGCTGGAAATTCTTTCTTACTTCGCTCCTTTCAACATTTTTAATTTCCCAAACAAAACACATCATGGTACTGCTATACTCTGCCTGAGGATACAGCTGAGAGAGAGGGAAAATTAGCTTTAATGGAACCTCCTGATTCCGTTCATATTGTTGCCAGGACCAAACCTAACTACAGCATTTCTACTGGCAAGAAAAGAAAAAGAGCCAGGTTCTCTCATCCTTCAGAGGGTGATCAGCCAGCAGAAGGGAAAGTCATCACAAGTCTGAAGTATGACTTTTCCAGTCATGCTATTACCTAAAATTCACTCCCTTTTCTTTCAGTGCTTTAAAAAAAAAAAAAAAAAGGTCTGTGTTCATGTTCTGTAAAATAGAGATACTTTATTTTCTCCAGTGGATACTGCACTGACTGCTTAGTAACAGTAAGGACATGCCTCTATTTTCCTGTTCAGAATCTTCTCTCCTCCCGAAGGGGCACAATCATTTTATATTCTGGTTATAGATCTCCTCTCTCTGTCAATCTTTACTGAAGTGCCTCAATAACTGACCTTATTTTCAGGTGCTGAGCCCCTGGCAGCTCCCTTTAAAGTAAATGAAAGTTGCCAGAGGCTCAGCATTTCAGAAATCAGGGCACTTAAAATTTGTTGCCTATCTCTGGATTTAAAAATCTGTCTTGAGGTTCTCTTTTATTTTTTAACTTTTTTTCTGTAATCCAACATCAAGGGAGAAGTAATGAAAGCAGACCTGACTACAAGAAAGATGGTTTCCAGCTTTGGAATGTCTTTTCTATCTGTTGGAGTTAATTATTAAAAAGACAGTTTCAGGTAAAATAACACCTGTTAATTCAGGTATAATTTTCTAATCTGTCACAGCTACAAGCAAAAATTATGATAATACAGCTCTGAAGGTTTTTCCTTCTGCTCCATCTTGTTAACTTTACATTTTTGACAAATCTAACATCTGATTTTTTTGTAAATCTGACGTTCACTCAGACTTGGCCATGTTTACCTGAAATATTTCTAATTTGACAAGCCTTTCAGTTTGAACCATTCTGAAGCCTGACAAGCCTTCCAGATTTTAAGAGGGCACTGAAGTACTTTCTTAATAGGCTAAAATAAAAACAGAAAGCGATACTTACAGTTGTAATTGCTGTAGCTTGTTACAGACCACAGATATTAGTGAAGCAAGGTCATCTCAAGAAACAGGTACTTGCTTTAAAGCACCTAATACAGCTGTAAAACAAACAAATCAGGAATTACTCTCCTTACACACAGATTGCTTTGATGACATTACTTTTTTTTTACAGCTGTTACTCTCCCATATTTTGGACCTCTGTGCTGCAGCTCAATGATTTATGACAGGTTTTTGGCTCTGGCCTGTGGCAGAACCATGAACTCAAGAGCTGAACAGAGGTAGACATGCTTTTGGGGCCAGAGTTCTTGGGACTGACTCAGTTCCTGCAGATGCTATCTTGTTTGAGAAAAGGCAAATGTTCAGTCGTAAAGGTACCACAACTTTCATTTCTTAATGAAGATACTCCTAGCAGTCTCATATTTTACTCTGCATTTCAAATCAGGTGAATTCCACTCTCCCCATTAAAGAAAATGAAGATATATGCAGTATGATCTGATTAAGAAGATGTCAAATCTGCAAGCCATGGTAGCAGAATAAAACATGATGTAAACCCACCCTATGACTCATTTCAAAATTATCAGAACTCCACTTATGTATGAAAAAAATAAGTTAAACTGAAAGATATGTCAGAAAAAGTTATAATCTACCTCTTCAGCATCTCTGGAATACCTGCAATAATGCAGAAAATATCTCAGATATTTCTGATGGTGGTGAAAGACTGCATAACACTTACAAATTGTGAGGACCACAAACATTTATTTGTCCCTTCTTGTGGACAACTTCTGCCTGCAGATCTTCTACTTAACCTAACTGCATCCTAGAGAGGGTCTTGGAAAATACCACTGCCTCAGAAGTAACACCTTCTCTTGCCCTTTACCATTTAATATTTTTGCTCGGACATTATTTTATTCACAACGTTTTGTGAATAAACCCCTGTAAAGTTACTGATCTAAAAGTAATTTCCAAACAGAGGCATCAATCAGTCTCCATCAAAAGTCATGTCATGAAAATGTTTCAAAAATACTATAGTTTTAAGAATTTTTATTCTTGTTATTCATTCCTCAGTATTAAATCTTTAAGGACATTATTTGTAACATTTCTGCATGATATAAACTAGACAATTTTTTAAATGAAAGCTAAGATTTTGAAATAAATTTTTAGCAGGAAGGTAGAGAATTTAAAAAGAACCCCCAAAAATATAACAAGGGCAATATTTGAAGTAATGCACAGTATAAAAAACCGACATAACTTTGTCTTACATAGGTCTATGCAGTGGGACACAGAAACTGTTTAGAACTGATTAACATGACCATGGATCTTAGAGAAGGAACAGTATGTTTTAGAGATAAGGAAGTATGAAACAGTTAGGAGGTCCTTCTCAGGAATAATTTCCTGAGATTACATGGAGATCATAAAAGTGAACATAAATTTCTACTCAATTTGTCAGAAACAACTGAAACAATTTCAACAAATTGGAGAAAATTACACAAGAGCTAGAGAAAACCTAACCAGATCAAGGAACATCCCTTAACAAATAAATTAGATACTGGTGCTACTCTTTATGTTAAGACAATCTGAGTTTCATACAGTTCAAGAATATACCTATATTTAGGTATGTACATGTAGGTGTCTAAGCTCCTATTATAGACAATTGAGATATGTCAAAACAAAGAGCAGATCTTAGAAACTAGACTGTCAACTAACATTTCTGCTTTCACAGAATCATGAATGGTTGATGTTGGAAGGGATGTCTGGAAGAAATCTGGCCAAACTTCTGCTCAAGCAGGGCTACCTAAAGCCAGTTACCCAGGACCATGTTCCAGATGCCTTACAAATACTGCCAAGGATGGAGACCTAAGCACCATCCTGGGCAACCTGTGCCAGCTCTTGGTCACCCTCACAGTAAAAAAAAGCACTACTTTACGTCCACGGGGAACCTCCTGTTTTTTATTTGTGCCTTTTGTCCTGTCACTGGTCACCATTGCAAGCAACCTGGCTCCATTATATATATATTGATAATACCCCCCTGAGCCTGCTCTTCTCCAGGCTAAACAGTCCTAGTTTGCTCAGCCTTTCCTCACAGAATAAATGCTCCAGTCCTTGCATGATCTTTGTGGCCCTTAATTTGGCTTCATATGTCCATGTGCCTCTTTTACCAAGGAGCTCTGGTACTCCAGGTCTGGCCTCACCAGTGCTGAGTCGTGGGGTAGGATCACATCCCTCAGACCGGCTGGCAACATCCCAGGCCAGGATGCTGTTAGCCTTCTTTGCCACAAGGGCACACTGCTGGCTCACCTTCAACTTGCCGTCCACCAGGGGTCCTTGGTCCTTTTCTGCACAGCTGCTTTACAGCTGAGTGGATTCCAACATATACTAGTGCTTGGGATTGCTCCTCCCCAAGTGCAGGACGTTGCACTTCCCTTTGTTGAACTTCATGAAGTTCCTGTCAGACCATTTCTCCAGCCTGTTGAGGTCTTTCTGGATGGCAGCACAACCCTCTGGTGTATGAGCTACTTCTCCCAGTTTTATGTCATCAGTAAACTTTCTGAGGATACACTGTGTGCTGTCATCCAGATCATTAATGATGTTAAATGGGATTAGATTCACTACTGACCGCTAGGTTACACTACTAGTTACTTGCCTACCACTAGGCATTGTGCAGTTGAACACCACCATCTGAGGCCAAACGTTCATCCAGTTTTCAATCCAACTTACTGTCTGCTCATCCAGCCTCCACATCAATGGCTTCTCTATAAGGATCTTACGGAATACAGTGTCAAAGGCCTTACTGAAGTCCAGATAGACAATATCCACCACTCTCCCCTTGTGTATCAGGCCAGCTATTTTATCATAGAGGCTTATCAAGTTGGTCAAGCATGTCCAAAAGATGGTCAAGTATGACAAAGCTTTACAGTGAGGCAAATCTTTCTCCAGACATCACTAAGTGTCATCTGCATTTCACTGACAATAGTAGATGTTTGGTTCATTTGTAGATCCTACATACAGATGCTTAGCATGCAAGGGCAGGCAACGTTTGTCTTCAGTTGTGTGGAAATGAGGTCCTACTTGGCCTTTGCTGGACCTTTTTTCCTCTTTGAGAAGATACTAAACTCAGGCCCAACCTTGCTCTTTCCACAACCAAGTCCTCGTTTTGGCTGGGATAGAGTTAATTTTTCTTCTTAGTAGCTAGAGTAGTGCTGTGCTTTGGATTCAGTATGGGATTTAGTACGAGAAGAATGCTGATAACACACTGATGTTTTCAGCTGTTTCTAAGAGATCAAGGACTCTCCAAGTCCCCATGTCCTGCCCATGCACAACTGTACAGGAAGCTGGGAGGAAGCACGGTCAGAACACCGGACCCAAACTGGCCAGTGGTATATTCCATGTCATGTAACATCATGCTCAGTATATAGAGGGTCAGCCAGGAAGAAGGGGGTTCTCTCTCGCTTCCAGGATTGTGATTTGGATGTTGGTATTTTGGAGTCACTAGTCAGGAATGGGCTGGGTGTCAGTTGGCAGGTGGTGAGCAACCAAATTGTGCATTACCTGTTTGTACTTTCTATTATCATTATTGGTTTATTTTATTACAATTATTAAACTGCTTTTATCTCAACCTATGAGTGTCCCTTTACCCCTACAATTCTTTCCCCAATCCCCCAGGAAGGGGAGGGTGAATGAGCGGCTGTGTAGTGTTTGGCGGCCGGCCAGGTTTAAACCATGACACCAAGGAACAGTGGCTTTCCCAGAAAGGTCTGCTACGTTTCGTCTGGTGGCAGCACTGTCTGGTGGCAGCCATATAACCTTCCCACTGACCTCCCTATCTTGTCCCTTTGAGGTACACTTCTGATGAGCTGAGGGGAGGGAGCAGGTAGGATGAAGAGGGCTGACTGTCTCAGCCAGAGCACTGGGTTCATGGTGCAGCCAATATAAGACAGCAATGGTGTGGCGACCTTTCTTCTTCCCAGTTACAAGTAGTGCTGATACCCCTCTCCAACCTCTTTATGGTGGGAGATAAATCCTTCAGCTTTTGCTAGTCAGAGCAATGGAATAACTGTTTGCTTCCTTTCACCTGTAAAAGGTGGCAAGTCAAATAGAAACTTGTGAGCTGAATCAAGAGCAGGGGCTGTCAGCTACCACATGATAAACAATGAAGACAGCCTGCATTTCCTAAAAAGTGAATTTGACTGCATGAATTAATGCAAACAGCTCACCACAGATGGTTCCTTATTGACATGTTCTAGACGAAATCAGTTAGCACTACTTAAAAGCAAACACAAAACCCAAGAGAATTACATCCATTCGATTTTGCACCATAACTTAAGGTTCTACAGACGTTCAGGAGCACCCAGACTCTATAAATCTATTTTTAAAAGTGTAATGTAACAAACACATGAGGTTCAATGCAAAATTCAGAACTATCTGAATAGTATTCTGAAGTCTGGATAAGGTGAGTTACCTGAATGGGAAGAACCATAAGAAATATTCTAGCGATTAGAGTAAGTTTTGGTTTATGCTGTGATTCTGGCTGCATAGCAGCAATGATAACAGAGACTGGGTAGTTTGGGGTTATGAATTCAGTGCTAAGTATCAGGATAATTAACGCATCTTGAAAATATTACTGAACTACTTGACTACTGAAAAAGAGGTGACAAGGAATTGTGCTGGCCTCAGCACTTAACGTCCACTCTGACTTAGGAATTCGCTGTGTTACATTTATGAAGGTTGGCATTTTTGATCTGCACAATGCAAATAAATCAACTAAAGATACAGATTTGGAAATTTTCATTGTGCTTATAGTTTGTCAACCAATCTATTACAGTTTGCAAGTAGATGAGTGAAACTTCAGGTATGCAACAATTAGCCAAATTTCTTTCTTCAATGAATCATAGAATCATAGACTGGTTTGGAAGAGACCTTAAAGATCATCTAGTTCCAATCCTCCTGCCATGAGCAGGGACGCCTTCCACTAGATCAGGCTGTTGAAAGCCTCATCCAACCTGACCTTAAACATTTCTAGTGAGGAGACATCATTTGAAACAAGAAGTAGGCCTTCTAACTGAAGATAAAAGGGTTTGGGTTTTACTACAAAAACACAAAG